CAATATCTCGTCTTACCAACTGGAGATTCAAAAGATGCAGATGATAATCAATGGGACAAAAAAACATAAAAAGTGTTAGTATATTGCATAAATTACTAGATTAACCAATAAAGGGATGAAAAATGGTGATATAACCATATAATGGTGACAAATTCTCAGCTAGCTTAGCAGGAAGTCAACAGATAATATCCCCAAATTGGTAAATGAAGGAATAAAAGAAGTGTTTATTTAGAGAAATGAGGGTAGATATAGGAAGAAAAGAACTAAAGTTGGCTGCCCTTCCAGAAAGGGGACTTTGGTGGGATTCTGGCAGGGCCCTGTTATTTCTTTACATGGGCACGTTCCACTTGGATTATAAAAACTCAACCAGGAATAAGATGGAAAGTCTGGAGCAACAACCATGCCCACCACCTTAAAGAATGGCCCATAGCATTGCAGCTGCCATATAGTCCACCTTTAGCCGCCTTCCTTGCGTGTTGTGCATACCCCTTATGTGAGGGAGACCAAAGCCTTACCAGAGACATTAAAAAATAGAGACATTACTTTGCTGACAAAGGTCCATATAGTCAAAGCTATGGTTCTTCCAGTAGTCATGTATGGATGTGAGAGTTGGACTATAAAGAAAGCTGAGAGCCAAAGAATTGATGCTTTTGAACTGTAGTGTTGGAGAAGACTCTTGAGAGTCCCTTGGACTTCCAGGAGATCCAACCAGTCAATCCTAAAGGAAATCAACCCTGAATATTCATTGGAAGGACTGATGCTGAAGCTGAAGCTCCAATACTTTGATCACCTGATGCGAAGGGCTGACTCATTGGAAAAGACCCTGATGCTGGGAAAGATTGAAGGCAGGAGAAGAAGGGGACGACAGAGGGTGAGATGGTTGGATGGCATCACCGACTGGGAAAGATTGAAGGCAGGAGAAGAAGGGGACGACAGAGGATGAGATGGTTGGATGGCATCACTGACTCGATGGACATGAGTTTGAGCAAGTTCCAGGATTTGGTGAAGGGCAGGGAAGCCTGGCGTGCTCTAGTCCATGGGGTTGCAAAGAGTCGGACATGACTGAGGGACTGAACTGAAAGCCTTCCCAGGTGCCACTAGTGGTAAAGAATCCATCTGCCAGTGTAGGAGACATAGGAGACATGGGTTTGATCCCTGGGTTGGGAAGATCCCCTGGAGGAGGGCATGGCAACCCACTCCAGTAGTCTTACCTGGAGAACTCCATGGGCAGAGGGCTACTGTCCATAGGGTCACAAAGAGTTAGACATGACTGAACAACTAACACTTCACTTCTTCAAAGGGGGGCAGAAACTTGATTAGGCCAATTGCTCAAAGAAGCTCACTTACAAAGGCACAGCGATGGCAGTCTGAGCAGCATGAGGCACAGGCCAACTTGAGAAGCCTTTTACAGAACACATTCTCTACTGGGATGGGCCAACCTGTGGAACTGGGACCCCTGGGTCCCCAATTCGATGTTGAGTTCACATTAGCTGACCATAGGTAAAGTCCCAAAGTGCCAGGATATGGCACATATGGCTATGCGAGCAACTCCGCCCTCCTATAGCCCTGCCTGCAAGGAGTAAGATCTATGCCAACCTCCAGCCCAGAAGGGGCCCACCACTCTCCATCCCACTGCCTGAAACTTCTGTCTGGAAGCTGTCTTGAGACTCTTTTCTTAAAAATTCATTCATCCAGAATCAATTGACACCCAATAGGAATGCAAAGATCACTTCAAGGGAGAGTAAATTAAACCTTTATTCACGTTCAGGCAGAGGGATAATTAGAAAAGTGCTCAGGGAAAATTTTGCCTGTGTGACAGTTTTGCCCGGGAACAGGCCAGGACCAGAATACCCTGAAATACACATATGAGCACATGCACATACACACAGCCAGGGAATACACACCCACACAGAGATACCTCCTATGATCTCTGATAAACCCTCTTCCCTTTGTAAACTCTGCCATGGCAGTTCTGGATAGTTCTTTTCTCCTTCTACTTTTTTCTTTAACAGTTTTATTGAGATACAATTCACAATTCAAACTATTAAAGTAGACAATTCAATGGCTTTTAGTATATTCTCAGAGCTGTGTGTCCATCACTACATTCCATTTTAGATCATTTTCATTATCTTGAAAGAAACCCATACCCATTAATTCCCTATTCCTGCTCCCCGCACAGTCTCTTGTTGTTCAGTCACCAAGTTGCATCCGACTCTTCACAACCCCATGGACTACAGCATGCCATGCTTCCCTGTCCTTCACCATCTCCTGGAGTTTGCCCAAGTTCATGTCTATTGAATTGATGATGCCATCCAACCACCTCACCCTCTGTCGCCTCTGTCTCCTTCTGCCGTCAATCTTTCCCAGCATTTTGTATACAAGTTCCTTATCACGTATATGATTTACAGACATATTCTCTCATTCCGTGGGTTGTCTCTTCACTGTCCTGATGGTGTCCTTTGAAATGAAAGTTTTTCACTTTCAATAAAGTTCAATTTATTATTTTTTTCTTTTTTGTCTTGTCCCTTTGGTGTCACATATAAGAAACCACTGCCTAATCCAAAGTCCTGAAGATTTACACCTATACTTTCTTCTAAGATTTTTACAGTTTTAGCTTTTACATTTAGGTCTTTGATCCATTTTGAGTTAATTTCTGTATATGGTCTGAAGTTAAGGGTCCATCTTCATTTGTCTTTGCATGAGGATTCTCATTCCGTATTTCCAAGGAAAGCACCTTAACTGAGAACTGGGTTTAGGCAAAAAAATCATGACTCATAATAATCACAAAAGTCATTGGTTACGTCTCTACTAGGTACTCGCATATACTTAGTCATGTCTGACTCTTTGTGACCCCATGGACTATACAGTTTATGGAATTCTCCAGGCCAGAATACTGGAATGGGTAGCCTTTCCCTTCTCCAGGGGATCTTCCCAACCCAGGGATCTAACTCAGGTCTCTCACACTGCAGGAAGATTCTTTACTAGCTGAGCCACAAGGGAAGCCTGCTCACATATGCTCCCTCTTATTTTTACAGCAACTCTTCAAGGTAGACCTTTGTACTATTCTCATCTTATAGTTGATCAAAGTGAGAGAGATGAACTTGTTTCACTTTGCACAACTGGCAACAGGCAGAGTCAAGATTTGTGTAAGGTCTGTCTGTCTCCAAAGCCTAGACTCAAAATGTTGCACCAAGCTGCAAAAATAAGCATTGTAAAATAGTGCCTGAGAGATGCTGGTTGAATGACTCGTTAAGCCCAGTTGTTGACAAAAGCTGATGTTGCATAAAAGTGATCCCAGGGTAAGCTAAAAGACATCAGGACTAGGAGCAACTTAGCAGAAAAATGAGCAGTAACTTCAGCATTAAATATGGATGCACCAAAAGCTTCTGGCTTGATATAGGGGTGCCATTCCACTCTTCCATGACTGAGTAAAATGTTTAGCTTGGAATCTCTTTCTTCTAGTCCCACACAGAGTGAGGTTAAATATCTACAGTAGTCTGTTGGGCCTGGAAATCCATGAGGATTACCTGATAAGTGGTTTTGAGCAGAGTCCTGGCACCAACATGAGGGCCCCATAGCTTGGATTAGGTATAAAGCACTCAAGGGCAGGGGCTGGCAGGGCCAAGGGAGGGATCTGACCAAGACTGTAAAGGAAAACACTGTAATAAAGGGCCTGAGAATGCATGGACATCTGAGAATTGGTTAGTAAAGAAAAGTTCAAAGCAAAGTATCAGTCAGTTCAGTCGCTCAGTCATGTCCAACTCTTTGCGACCCCGTGAATCACAGCACGCCAGGCCTTCCTGTCCATCACCAACTCCCGGAGTTTACTCAAACTCATGTCCATTGAGTCAGTGATGCCACCCAGCCATCTCATCCTCTGTCGTCCCCTTCTCCTCCTGCCCCCAATCCCTCCCAGCATCAGGATCTTTTCCAATGAGTCAGCTCTTCGCATGAGGTGGCCAAAGTATGGGAGTTTCAGTTTCAGCATCAGTCCTTCCAATGAACACCCAGGACTGATCTCCTTTAGGATGGACTGGTTGGATCTCCTTGCAGTAAAGCAAAGTATAAGAGATGTCTGATGATTTCTTATCTATTTTCTAATAATAATAGCAGCTTTTTATGTGCTAGGTACTGTGCTAAGTACTTTACATGTATTAACTCATCTAATCCTCATGGAAACCTCATAATAGAGATACTGTCTTTATCTCTATTTTACATATGAGAAAATTGAGGAAAAGAGAGGTTAGGCATCTTGCCCATGGTCATATAGAGTGTAAGCGGCAAAGATGGAATGTGAATTTAGGCCCCCTGGCTCCAGAGTCTGTGTACTTATGCTACTAGGCTATATAAATACAAGTGGAATGTAAACAAGGGAGGTGGGAGAAAAAGGCATGGTTGCCTCTTTCTAAAAAGTTACACTATGATTTCAGAAATTTCCTACTATCCTCCTAGTGACCTCTGGAGTGCTCTGAAAATTTTTAAAAGGTTTACCAATAAAAAGTGGTACCACAATTAGGGCTGTGGTTTTACCTCATTGGAAAAGAGCAAGAAAGAGAGATCAATTAGTCCAAAAGTTTCCAAGGTCACCTAGTATGGGCACACATATTCTGGGAGGACAAACACTAATTAAGGTTTGTAAAAGAACTTACTGTGTATAAGACAATGTTCTGAGAACTTCCATGAACTTTTTAATTTAATCATCACAATAATCATTTGAAGTAGGTATTATTATTATCTTCTATTTCACAGATATGAAGATTAAGCACAAATTTTTTCAAGGTTACACAAATTATAAGTGGCAAAGTAGATTTAAACCTAGGAAGTCCATCCCTCCATCTGGGATACCTAACAGCTATGCTAAACTGATCTTGCCAAAGCCTATGAGGGAGGCTGCTACAAAAGGAGCCAGACTATAACATTATCCTGTTGTCCTCAATCCCCTTCTTGTTTTTCAACTTGTTTTAAGCCTACTTTTTATTTATTTTTTTTTTAACAGTTACCTTGTACAGTTTATTACGCAGGATTTCAATATTCAGTTCATCTAGAGCATTTTCAGACGTACAGTCTTGAAAGAATGGAGCTGAAAGCAGAAATTATCATCCAAAATAAGTCAAAAGAGGATTTTAAATTGTAGAAAATGTCTCCTGAATGTACCACCCCCTGCTCACTGCTAACCAGGACAATTGACAGCCTCAATGAAGCTAACAGTGGCAGTGATGGGGGAGTGACTCCTGAGGAAGCATTTGCTCTGCGCAAGCCCTCAGTAATCACTGGATACACTTGAACATTTTCAGTCCTCCCAACCTTGTACTCCTTACTTTATGGTTTCCGCTTTTGAAGTCCCTCTCCACATCAGCCAGCCATAGTTACCATTTGCAACCTTACGATGTGACAAGTATGGAGCTGTATTAAAAACTGTCCTAGTTTTTAAAACTCTTTGATAGGAAGACAGTATTGTTTTCAGCATGAGGAAACTTGAGTAAAATGAATTGTCCCATGTCCCTTGGTTGGGGGTGGCAGGGCCTGGCTTCATGCCTGTGAACATGGGTTTTCAGACTCACTGTCTTTCGGCCACGCTATGCTCCTGGAGCAACTGACCCTTAATATTGATGCAATTACTTTTCTTTTTAAAGCTTGTTTTAAATGGCAGCTATTACGACGAATGATCAGCAGAGAACTGCTATTATCAGGGTTCCCTGACAATGGAGGTATAAAATGATTCCTTCAGCGTTTTAAATGCTGCAACTATTGTCCACGCCAAAGTATGATGGCATTGACAGTTATTTTCTCACTGCTTCAGGTCGTTTGCCAGGCACTCCTGAGCATCTCAGGAAAAAATGGCATTCCCAAACTTCCTGAAACAAAGTGTTTCCCAGACACAGCCCTATACAGAAATTTAAAATGAAAAGGTAAGGAACTTAATCACCTAAAACACAGCTAGAAAATTTTTTGAAAAATTACAAATGTTATCATTTATTTGCTGTGATCAGGAGTGAAGCCCATGGGTTTGGATGTTGGAGGGTGAGGCCTGGCCCTGCTCGGCTATCAGTGGTCTGCGTGGGGTCTGGGGCGGTATTACATCACTTGTCTTGACTTGAGAAAGGAGGGAGCTGGACCAGATGATTCTGCAATGTCCCCTTCCCCTTCCAGGAATCTGTATAGTATGACGCTGCGTTCATGGAGACAACTGTGAGTTGCAAGTGCGTTTTCTAATGGTGTGATGACATGCACAAACAGCCGCACAGTGAGTTAGGCGCTCGCACCTAAGGGTGTCTCGACCAGAATGGCGTTGAAGAGGTCAGAAGGTGTCTCTGCAATGTTGACCGCCTCCATTTCCGTGAAGTGGCCGAGAGGGTGGCACTTCCCCAGGATGTCCTTCACGGGTTTGCTCTGCAGAGCGCCGTTCATCAGGAGAATCACGTTGTCTATCATGTAACTGCACGTCATGTATGTGAAAAAGGTGCTTAGCGGCTCCAAGGAGTGATTCCGGAAATATTCAAACTCTCTGCACAGCTTTTTCCTCATCTCCGTGTCAATAACGGAAACAGTAAGAGGAGCGGCTTGATTAGCCAAGAAGTTGCCATAATCGGTGGTCTGGAGATGAATTTTCAGATCTTCCAGGTTCTCACACTGGACCAGGTTGACGTAGTCCTGCCGGGTCAGGAGGCCGGCCTTGCAGCCGCGCACCAAGCCCTCCAGGTAGCCGTGGTCGGCGTTGAAGTTCAGCTCTGCGCTTTCGAGCATCGCGGGAGCGGCCGCCGGAGGCTGCAGCGACGCGCGGGTCCGGAGGGGCGCGCGGGTCCAGGGGGTTGCGGGTCCGGAGGGGTTGCGGGTCCCCAGGGACGCGGGTTTGGAGGGGCGCTCGGGTCTGCAGGGGCGCGCGGGTCTGGAAGCGAGCGCGCGGTTCTCTCGGGTGGCCAGACGGCGATCTCTCAGCTCTTAAGCCTACTTTTTAAAGTTTCTTGTGTTGATTTCAGCAGGTTAGCAATTTTCATAAGCATCAATATATCCTGGCCTCAACCCATCCCAATAGCACTGTTACACAGCTGTACTACTCTTTTCTACTGGTTTATCATACAGAAAAAGCAATGGCCTATAATTTTCCAGAAGAAAAAGTGCATATCAAGTGTCTACATTATTTTCCTGACCCTGCCTCTATAATAGAGTAGAAAGACAACAGGCTTTAGGGTAGACAGATCTGGTTTCAAATCCTGCTTTCTATACTTCCCGGCTGAGAGGTCACTTTGCCTCAGTCCACTCCTCTAGTATCACACTCCTTCAGCTCCCAACTCCACCTTCCTCCTCCTCTAGTGTCACACACATACTGAGTTCCTGCACTGTTCCAGGCACTTGGAGGCAGGGGACAGAGGAGAAGGAATAAGACAGGAAGACAAATTTAGGGTGTGATAAGAAGTCCAGTGTGACTGAAGAATAGAGGAGGTAAGGAGGACTGAGACCAGAGCAAGAGTCTTGAATGCCTCAGACAAAGGGGTTAAAGTATATTTGAGAGGTAATGGAGCCTTTGAGGGTCTTCATACAAGGGATGACACAATCACAATGGACATTTACTGAGTACTTATTCCAGGTTAGGCATGATTCTTTACTAAGTCCTCATGACAGGCTTGTGAGTAGGTATACTATTTTTCATGTTTTGCAGATGTGAAAATAAAGACTCAGAAATATGGACTCACTTGCCCAAGATCTCACATAACTTATAAATGACGGGCCTGGGACTAAATCTATACAGCTGGATCCCAGAGCCACATGAGGCTCTGTTCTTTTGAGGTAACTCAATCAAGCAGGCTTGTACACAGTAGACTGGAGGAAAGAGCGGAATACAGAGACCGCTTAGGAGGCCATTACAGTCATCCTGGCTCTTGAGAGTTCCTTGGACAGCAGGAGATCAATCTAGTCTATCTTAAAGGAAATCAATCCTGGATATTCATTGGAAGGACTGATGATGAAGCTGAAGCTCCAATACTTTGGCCACCTGATGCAAAGAGCTGACTCATTAGAAAAGATGCTGATGCTGGGGAAGATTGAAGGCAGGAGGAGAAGGGGACGACAGAGGATGAGATGGTTGGATGGCATCACCGACTCGATGGACATGAGTTTGAGCAGGCTTGGGGAGATGGTGAAGGGCAGGGAAGCCCAGCGTGTGTAGTCCATGGGGTTGCAAAGAGTCTGGCACGACTGAGTGACTGAACAACAACAGTCATCCAACAGAGGAGGCCAGTGAAATGGAGTCAGTAGCACAGACGCTGAGAATACAGTGTTCTAGAACCAGGCAAATGAATTAATGTGGGAGGTAGGGGGTTTTAGTCTAGCCCAGAAATGTCAGGGGCATAAGGTTTGTCCCCCCATGTTCTTAAAAAATAAGGAAAATTGTCAATGGTTTAAAACAGGACAGTTTAACATCTGGATTTCGGTCTTCTCCTAATGAACCAAAAGATTTGGCAGCACTAGCCTGGCACTCCCATGGGGCACCAGTGGGCTGGGATCCAGCAGAAGCTTCTCTCTTGAGATAGAGAAGCATGCCCCAAGGCCCTCTGGGACCTGCTTCTCCACCTTACCTGGCTGGCCAACAGAAAGCCTGAAGCCCCTAAGCTCTGAACTCTGTTAGGCTGCAAACCCAGAGACTGGGAAGAATAAAGATTGTGGAGGAGGAGTTAGTTTGGGAGAGGAGAGAAACATTGTTTCTGTAAATAAAGAAAACTCATGGCCAAGAGGAGATAAAGCAGCTACAGGAAGGGGGGGCAGGGAATGGGCCTTGAGATGACAACTGGCATGACAAGAATGGACAAAGGTCAAGGGGCTATCAAGGGGTCCAGGCTTTTTAAAGAAGCGATTGAAGGCATTTATTGATGGAGAGGGGGAAAAGTCAGGGAAGAAAGAGAGAAAAAGGCAGGAGTGGGGATGGCTATGTCTAAAATCCAAAGGTTCTGGCAAAAACTAAGAGGCCATCCTGCAGATGTGCTGGGAACCTGTGGGAGGAGGGAGGTTGTACTCAGAACAGAGAATTAAAGGTGAGATATCTTGATAAAAATGTATCCATGAATGATGAAAAGGGTAAATTAGAGGAGTTCAGAAGGATAGGAAACAGAGAAGCCAGTGCACTGCCATGGGTATAGTCTCAAAGCAATCATTTCGCAGTGTGCCTGAACTTCCTTTGCAAAAGGCAAATGGAGGAGTATCCCCAGGGAACAGATAGGTTGGTATCTGACCCTCTAGCCCTGTGGCACTGCAGCCAGGGTTTGAGGTTGCCAGGCTTAGGCACAAAGGGGCAGTGGCTGCCCAGAATCAAGACACACACGGGCTGGACAAAGGGGAAGAGAAAAGCTGCTATGGTTGCTATGGCTCTCTTTGGAGTCCTGCACTTCTTTAAATCTCACCATTCCCTTGATAAAGTGGTCAGTTTGAGTAGGCCAAGGAAAGACACAATTGGAGAGAGGTGTTAATTTAGATGAAGATATCTTTCTTAGTAGCACAGCCTTACTGCACTTTCCATTGAGGTAAGAGTTTCCCAGTCTGACTGGTGTTCAGAATTCTATGCCTCAAAAGGAGAAAGCAAGGCAGAGAGAGAAGGGAAACGATCTCTCCCAAATGATCAGCATGGAAGGGGTCATGAAGGCAGTTAAATATCATAGCACTGTCACAATCTGCTTTTGTACATTTTTGGACCCAGCCTGTATGTTTCTAGAGACCAAATGAGGGGCTATTTTGGGCTCTTACCAACATTTAGCCAAGATAGATTTTCCAGGAAAAGATTACAATGAAATTTCCAAACCATAGTTGTATCAGCAGCAGAGCAGGCCCCACATAACCATAAGTAGTTCCTAGGGATGAGATTATTTTTGCTGCTCCAGGGATCAGAATGCTTTACACATATTAATAACTACTGTTGCTTTCCCTTCCATTTAATGCCTGATTCTGTAGGACAGCTGCTCTGCAAAACATCAGCATTTAGATGATAAACTTCAGATTATTTATTGGGTTTATTTTTGAAATATACTACATTATAACCCCATTTCACTTTTTGTATGCTTTCTTTCCTTCTAAATAAAATCTTGGGTTTGAGCTAATTGAGTTCTAGTAGAGGTAATATGTGGAGAAGGAGCCCCCACCAGTTTTTTCCCACTGGAAATATGTTAGGTAGGGATGTGGGGCTTCCAGAATGGCTCTGTGGGAAGCTGGTGTGACTCCCCAGTGAAACAACCATTTCACTGGTGAAAATTATTTTTAAAAACAACCATTTAAGGTCTCTGGAGATTTGCCCTCAGGGCATACTGCAAGTAGAGAAACATTTATTCAAGAAAATTTACTAAATCTTGGTAAGAACAGTGAGTCTGTGGCATTTGAGTCATGATGTGCTCCAATTCCTTGCCCCACCCCCACCAGCTCCATGTTACAGAAGCACTGCTCTCAGCAAGTGTGGCCAAGAAAACAGGGCTCCCATTCCTCTCAGCTTCCAATCTACGGGCTAAAATTTCACCTCAAGAGCATCTCTTGTTTCCCCTAGCCAGTATTTCAGAAGCTCTCTTCTGGGTGGTCAAGAGGACTGGACTGCCCTCTCCCACCCAGCCTTAACTCAAAGGGTAGAAGTTCTACCTCAGACTCAGCAGGCCAAGAATATTGGGCCTTCAGGCATCCCACCTCAGTTCACTCATAGGATAGAGAAACCTAGGAGAGGCAAGCTAAGACCAGAGGCTACCATCTTCCCCCCAGCACCCATTCATACAGCAGGGAGTAATTCTCCAGGGGAGGAGGGCACAGTCTGCACTCACAGCCTCAGTGAAGTGGTTCAGAGTTTCTACCCAGGGTTTCTGACAGAACATAAAGACAGAGAGCTCCACAGCACAGTTCTACCTTAATGGGACTATTTAGAACACAGCATGGAGTTTATGGAGATTTCAGTGGCAAAAAGTTAAGAGGGGGCTGGTAGTTTGATGAAACTAGTATTAATAATAGCAAGAAAAATGGCAGGCCAGCCAAAAGGTTACCAGGAAAAAAGACAGCCAAGAAGACCGCTCTCATGGGATTATCCTCATCCTTGTGGATTTGGAAGGTTGTACACATGCAGCTGCTTCAGAAGCAATCAGAGAAGGACATTGAACAAGCTTGAAAACAACCCCCAAGCCACACACATATAAAGCAGCAAAGGGCACAAGTCTCACTGGCTCAATGCACTCATGCACAATCTCTGACCAGGCACTGCTTGAGCAAGAAGTCAGACTTAAAACCAAATCATAACCATCCCTAGTGGTCTGGAAGACTATGCCCTCTCAGTCTTCCAGAGAGCAATGGAGAAAGTAATTCTAAGCTACTAGGAAGCTGAATGTGGGGCATAACTGTAAACTCCTTGAACTGTCAAAGCAATCTCCAAGCCATACACACAAAATCAACTATAAAGATAGATCAATAGAGATTTTTCCATTTTAAGAACAATGAAAAGAATAAGGGAGAGGGTGAGGGGAAGTTGGAGGAGGAGAAGAAAAAAATGAATAGAGCCTAAGAGAGATGTAGGATACCACTAAGTGCACCAACATATATATAACGAGAGTACCAGGAGGAAAGGTGACAGAGAAATGAACAGACAAAATATTCAAGGACATATTGGCTGAAAACAATCCAAATTTGATGAAAAATACTTATATACACATTCAAGAAGCTCAATGAACTCCAAGTGGGATAAAGACAAATAGATCCTTACCCAGACACATCACAGTTGTTGATATGTTGAAAGG